CAGTGGGCGGAACCGACGAACGCCAGAATGGTGACAGCTATGTAACGAAGGAAACTATAGTTTGGGGGGCTGGTCTTAAAAATTGTGTAACTGAGCTATATAAGCAGATAACAACTTAGACAACTTACGCGTAGTATGCACTCGGAACTGTTAGAAAACGACGCGGTAACGTGTTGTTTAATAGATTCAAGTGGCCGAAGATATTCGGCTTTAATACAGTGCCGTGTCGTTTGGCAACATTATACCGGCAAATTGCAACAGTATCGAGCTAATTCGCTTTGAGAAGTACCGCAGCCTTCTTTGTCCATTAAACAGCTGTCTTTAAAATTGTGCTGTTCGGTTATAACGGTATAATTATCTAGGCACCGTACGCTTATTCCGCTGTAAAAAGCTGGTAATGATGGGTTTGGGATCCGAGAACAAGACAGTAAGCACATCTAGCAAATTTGCATTGCAGCAGCTTGGAGAGGGAAAAGAAGAGGAAGAGCTCGCCAGGACGACAACAGACAGAGCTGAAGCCACGAGGCTGGCAAATGTCGAGCAGCAGGCAGCGGAGCCCAGAGAGACGTGGGGTCGCCGGCTGGAGTTCGTGCTCGCCACCATCGGTTATGCGGTTGGTTTGGGAAACGTGTGGCGCTTCCCCTACCTGTGTTACAGAAGCGGAGGAGGTGAGTGACCAACCCATACACCTCTCATCCTCCTGCTGCTCTCTCAGTGGGGTAAAGTTGGTTTTATATTCGAACATTCTACTTAACAATATAATTTCAGAAAGTATTCTTTGCAAATTGTAAACAGGGAAATCACATTACCAGCCAATGGTCATCAAAGTAGCCTGCCTACTGCATTATTCACAGTCAATTAAATAGAGCTAATTAATGTGATAGGATTTCAGACCGAATATTCAAAATAATAATGGTAAATAATATAGGGACCGTGTCACTGCTCAGAAAAGAACGAATGTGCAACAAAACCAACTTTACCTCAGTTGCTCTTTCATAGAGAATCAATAAAGGCTGATGCCATGCTTTTGTAACCATAACAATAGCTTAACTAAAATATTCATTTTAATTTAGGGAACAGTAACAAAGTGTCCAGGATAGTGTCTATTGATTGTCAATATTGGCAATAAATTGAAATTATATTGCTGATTTAAAAATGGGAACAAAGTTTTCAAATATTTTTAAAAGTTTAATGAGTGTGTTCAACCTGTAGGAAGCCATTTTGTGGTCACGTGACTATAAAACCGAAAGGAGTCCTTTATGCATAACTGTACTTCAAAGTCATAAATTAAAAGTTATATACCACATAACACAGATTTTTTTTATTTATGAAAAAGCACTTTTGTCTTCATTGCAAATAGAGTGATGCTTATGAAATTTTAAAACAGAAAAGGCATTTTTAAAACACCATTCACTTTTAAATTGTGTATACTAAATTTGCAGGGAAAGTTATGTATCTGAGAGTTCACTAAAATGTAAAACTCTGTCATAATTTTTCCTCATACACTTGTTCCAAAACTTTGACTTTAATCTTTTAAGGGAAGATATAGTAAAGAATATTTGAAAGCAAGGTCGCTGGTTTGAGTCCTGGCTGGACCAGTTGGCATTTCTGTGTGGAGTTTGCAAGTTCTCTCCGTGTTGGCGTAGGTCTCCGCTCCAGTTTCCCCCCACAGTTCAAAGACATATAGGTAAATTGAATAAACTAAATTGGCCGTAGTCTGTGTGTAAATGTATGAGTGTGTGGGTGTTTCCTATAGTACTGGGTTGCGGCTGGAAGGGCATCCGTTGTGTAAAATGTATGCTAGATAAATTGGCAGTTTATTCCGCTGTAGCAACCCCAGATTAATAAAGGCACTAAGCCAAAGGAAAATGAATGAGTGTTTGAAAGCAGCAGAATTTATTAATTTTTTTTATTTTTTGTCCCTACTATGGATATCAATGACTTCTGATTTTTGACATTCCTCAGAATATCTTGTTTTGTTTTTAACAAAAGGAAGAAATTCATGAAAGTTGAACATTTTCGTGTGAGTAAATGTTGAGAATTTTTAAATGTTGTAATGAAATGTCCTTTTTAATAAAAATAGTAATAAAAAAATGGTTAAAAAGATTTTTTTTGTCAGTTGCAATGCTTTTTTTATCTGAGGCTAATTTTGTAGCAGTTGTGTAACTACAAGATGTAACAGTAAATCCAGGAGTTTCTACCATTGGATATTTCTTTAGTTTTCTCAAACCAGCCTTTGTTTCATGTTTGCAGTGCATTGGTTCTGCCTTTTTTTCTTTTGAACATATTTCCATTGTTAATCATTTACTTAAACTATATTCATTATCTTGGAATTAGTTGCTGTTTCCATGAATATTTATAAATCATAAAATTTCCTCATTGGTTTGGCAAAATGTTATATGTAAGATTTCATCATGTTTCAGCAAAAAACCTGCAAAGATTATTTAAATTGTTAAAAAACAATTCTTGTAAATCCTCTATTTTGCACCGTACCAAGCGTTACATTATAACAAATAAAGCACTCAGTGACCTGTGATAATTAGGTAAACACATTTTATAGGTTACTTGTCACAAAGGTCACAGCAGATAAATTTGCCTCCCTTTGCTCTGTGCTCTATATAGCACCGTAGTGTTTTGTCCATCTTATATCCGTATTGTCCATGTGAATGTTTGCTTTCCTCAACTGTGTTAACACAGACCATAAAAACATTTGAATTTTAGTTTTATATCTATCTTTTTTAAATCAGTAAGAGCTGATTTGTGGCAAAATTGAATATGTAATAGGGATGCACAATATTGCTTTTTTCCAATTTACAAAACATATGAGCAATTCCAGCGTTACGGATGTGACATTTGTAGTAAAAACTCAAAACATAAATCCACATAGAAAGTATACGTTAACATTATATTGACAACTAACCACAAATTTATGGGATTAGAAAGATATCAATCTGTTAACATTTTTATACTTTAATGAGGAAAATAAACATGCGTTATGGATGTGACAAAGTTTGCGAGTTTACAGTCTACAACATACTTTGTTGAAATTCTGTCAATTAAACAGCACAACCTAAAAGTAAAACAATGTTAATCAAACAGATATGAGTTGGCTCACTATAGAACAACAATGATTGATTTTATTTTATTTGACATTTTTGAATTTATGAGGAAAAAGTGCCGTTATGGATGTGACACTTTTCCGTTATGGATGTGCAATTTCCACTTGTGTGATTTTGGCAAATTAAATATAACACTTTAAAACACTGAAAGATACATTTATGAGTATTTTTAAAGTACTGTAAAATACTTGCTTACTCAAAAAATGTAGAAACAGTTTCTCTATTTTGGTGAAAACGTAATTTTTGTTTTTTTATGGCAAGGTTGACATTTGCATGGAATTGCTCACATAATAAACAAATTTGCAAACATACTGTGAATAAATACAGTTGTGCAAAGATACAAATGAAATAAAAAATGCTTTTATGGTGTTCTTAGGAGTCATACAGTATTCAGACTAGGGCTGCATGAAAATTTTGACATAGCTTAAAGGGGCTTATAATTTTGATCTTAAAATGGTTAAAAAAAGAAAAGAAAAACTGTGTTTATTCTAGCCGAAATAAAACAAATCAATCTTTCTCCAGAAGAAAAAATATTATTGGACATACTGTGAAAATTTCCTTGCTCTGTTAAACATTGTTTGAAAAATATTTAAAAAAGAAAACAAAATTCAAAGGGGGGCTAATAATTCTGAATTTAACTATATATATATATATATATATATATATATATATATATATATATATATATATATATATATACATATATATTGTGATATGAATGAATACAATTTCAGCACATGGCTTAAATAGCTCTATTTAGAAAGTTATTACTTTAGATTGGCATGATTTGTATGGGAGTGAAATATAAATATATGTAATTTATTATATACATATAATAAACAAACTAAAGTCATAAACACAATGGAGCAAATGTTAAAATAAAGTAAACAGTAATTTCTGGATTTCTGGGGAATGTCTAACAGTATCCAGGGACAAAAAGTTAGTAATCAAACATAAAAGAGAATTGTATAGTCTTCATCAAATAAATTATTCAAGAATTTATTTAAAAAAACTTTTTTATGCTCTTCATGTTCTCTTAAAGTCCTTTAAACTCCTAAAATGAACACATAGGCCTTTAAAACACATGGAAATTTAAAGCTTTCACTAACGGTTCAATTCTGCAGTGTCTCCACAAATCTCATGTGTTTTGGCATGTGAATTCTGGTCATCCATATTCACAACTCAGCATTGCATATCTTGCAATGTGACTATTGTTGACACACACGTTGGGTTATCGATGCTCAAGCGATATATATTGCGCAGCCCTAATTCAGAGACAGAGCTTGAATAATTGAATGTGCAACATCACTGTATATTCTTCATCGAGTAAATGATAAAATATAAATAATCTTTGTTAAAGCTTCAAACGTTATAGTTTCATGCTATTAACCTGTCTTGAAATGCTTACAAATAGTTACAGGTCTTAAAAACACATGCAATTGATAAACTCACTACATTATGCTTAAACTTTCTAATGAAAACTTTTCAACCAGATAAACTACAATTCTGACCGGACATTGCACATGCTACCATGCTATTGCGAATGTGTACATTGCGTTATCGATGATGAAACGTAATATTGTGCAGCCCTTATCTGTTAACACCATGTCAATAAATCATCTTGACCTCCTGAAAAACCACTTTCGTCTTCATAGTAAAATTACATTCTTGTGAATCGCAAGCAAACAGCTTTTACCTCACAATTCAAAATAATGAAATTAAAATTAATACATTAAATTACTAACTAAGCTGTCTAGTTGTTAACATCCAACACATTTATCCCTGTCAAATTAAACCTTTGTGATCATTACCAAAAATACTGTAAGTTTTGTTTTAATAGTAATTATTATTCATGTTTGTTTTATCATTTTGATATGTTGCAGGTGCTTTCTTGATTCCCTACATGATCATGTTGTTTCTCTGTGGTATCCCACTGCTGTTCATGGAGTTCACTGTTGGTCAGTACACCCGTTTGGGCCCAGTCCACGCTCTGGCTCAAATATGTCCACTTTTCAAAGGTGAGTGGTCCGTGTGCCTCGGCATCTCATATTTCTGTGTTCAATTCTACCATGCAAACACAGTCCAGCAAATGACCAGTTATATGGGACATACCAGTAGTTCAGTCACACAAATCAAGTTCAAGTTTCAACATGATTGATGATGATTTGGCATAAAATCAGTTTAAGAGAACTTAACTTTTTTAGGTTATGATATTGTTATATATTCCTTGTAAAACATTTTAGACTGTTTTGCCAACCTCCTGTATTAATTGCTTTATCAGAGATTAGCTTTTTTTGCTGGTAACGTTTGTCAACAGTGTGAATGCTGCTCAACATGTAACACTGAGTTAGCATTTTGCTTGACTGTGTTTATTAAATCCACCCATCTCTCTGCATTGATCAAACATGGATACTGAGTGCAAAGCTTATTTTCTTAACTTTATGTTGGATCTTCTTTTTGTAATGTCTGGACGTGTTTCTGTGTCTCTTGATTTCTGATGATCTGGTGACGACTGATCTCTTGTACTTGATTACTGGACCACTTTTCTAGACTTGATTCAGCTTAAATCAACAGTATTTCTTTTAGAATCCCTGCAGAAAATCTACTTTGGCATTAATTGCGGGTTTTATAAACATGTACAGACATCACCTATATACTATATAACTGCAGGTTAACTATGATTATATATAATAACTGTTAAAAGTTATTAGTAATTAGTTACTAGATAATTAAAATTAACTGTAACTAACAACCTTAATTTTTCTGATTTTGATTGTAATTTAATAATTTGCACCTTTTGTAAAGCTGCTTTGAAACTATAATTATCGTGAAAAGCGCTGTACAATTAAACCTGAATTGAATTAAATTGAATAAACATTTATCTCATGTGTCATGGAATAAAAGGTTTAAATAAGGCATATGAACGTCACATCCTTATGATTCTCCTGGCAAAAAGTTCCAATTCTTTACAAAGAAATCAGTCTTTATGCTTTCATAAACAACTTAAACAAGTTGGTAAATAAGGTTTATTACACATCTTTCAGCATTGAATACATAAGAATAGTTTATGTATGTAGCCCCTTTAAGTAACAATGTAGAAGATTAAAAATTATTTTATTTTGAAATTAATCAGTCAAATCAAGTATTTCATTTTAACCACTAATTAAATACATTTATTTAGCTATTAATTAATCAATTTTAATTGTATAATTATTATTGTTTTTTATTTATTTATTTCAGCTTGTGTTTTCTTATTGTGATGTGATAAAATATTAGAGAAAAACAGACATAAAATATGTATGCAATAAATGTAATTCCATTTTTATGGAAATAGATTGCAACCAAAGTGGACCAAATGTGAATAGTCACCATCAATGAGTTCAGCCATCGCCGTTCATTGTTTGGGTTTCTTTACCTTTTTCATTTTGACATTTTTTCTCCTGCTAACTTAAGACTTCTCTCCTCTAAGACAGAGATAGTCTACCCGGTCAAATCTTTTGGGTCCGTCCTTTGATATAGCGCTCATTTCAGCCGATTACGGCACCTTGCTAGCAGAGGGACTGGAGCAGGTAGTTCTTTCTGTATATTCTTTTGACTGAAATGTACTCTAGTGTCAAATTCTTTGTGATTTTTCTGACGACCCTCCAGCAAAAGTGAGTAATGGACCATTCTGTTGCTCTACTATTTACTCTAATGTTGATTTACTGTCCATCTTGTAAAAATATTTGGAATGGATTGGAATGACTGATTGTGCACTCTTCCATAACAGGAAAAAGAGAGAGTGATTTGTGCATGTGTTTATGTTTAGTCATACAGCACTAATGTGTTTATACTTGATCTAGGACTGCATGTGGTTCCAAAGGGAAGATGAATTTAATGTTAATATTTTCTGTACAAGAAATCAGATGGATCACAAAGTAGACAAGGTCTTCTTAGAATTAAATTATATTTATTTCTTAAAAACAAATAAGATGATTTAAGAAATGAACAGGTGCTTTTCAGTATCTGCTTAAATCAGCTGTCTATAATACAGTATTTTCCATCTAAATTAGATCATAATTTACAAAGCCAGTCTTCCTGCCAATTCCTAGCTTTAAGTTATAACCAAAAAATACAATATATTATAACATAAAATATATTATAACCTACAATACATTTTTATTGAAATAATAAAAATTGACATGACATAATGCCTCCTTTATAGTAATATGTGATGCTCTCAATTAGAAAAGCATACAAACAATTTAATGACTTAAAGTTTATGTAATGTAACATGTGCTAGATTTGACCATTGTCATAGCCGTAATAATGTTCACAATTACTGTTGATTTTGGATTTCCAGTTGGGTAATCAATGATCCTGTAATGGCCATGGCATTAAATATTACTAAAGCAGTGGAATTTTTAAGGCTTAAAATCTGGACCAACCACTGTGTCTGACCTTAAAGGGCACCTCAGAACGTGCCAACAACAACATTCCTGTTTTCAGAGCTTGCTGCTATTCAGGGCTAAAACGACTAGTGAACATTCCATGTAGACAGTGAAAAAAGTCACACAATACCAAGATCCACAGAGAGTGATGATAACTAATCCAAGGACTTAAAGCTGGCATCAAAACAGGGCAAAAACAAAATCTATGGGTTGTTGTCCTTCTAAAGTGTTGCTTTGGGTCACAAAATAACTGGGTCACATTAAAAAGACTTGCATCTGGATCCGTAACTATAAGAACTAAATGGCTTGGCAAGTAAATCATTATTGGACTACTAAGAATAGCTTCAGCAGTTTTCTGTTTTTTTTTGCTTTTTTAATGGAAAAACCCTGGTGGCTGAATGGGTCTTGTTATAAATGTTTATTTTTTTCTTTGTGTTCATATTAAATGTCTAAATCAAATTATCTTCCACTCCTGGCTTCTTTAGTCTTGATTGCAGCATGACAATAGTGAGTCAAAATTACTGGAAGCAAAGCTGCTGTCTTAGATTCCTGTTTGTTTGTTCTTTTCAGGATGTGATAATGAATCACTGAGAAAAAGAAATACTATTGTGCTAGCCAGTAGTTCTCCTTAAAAAGTTAGTCAAACGCAGTTACCAACATTAACAGGTTGCACAAACCATTTTTCTAACCCAGGCTCATTCTGAAAACGTACTGCTATATACGTTTCTGGAGACCACCAAATACATGGCAGGAACTCCGTTTTTTGCAGTTTTTGTTTTCACAAATGCACGAGAGGCCGCTGTATATGTATTTTGAGATCTCAAATTTCCCTCGCGAGTGCCATTCATGCCTGCTGTTCTCACGTAAATCCACCAGAGGCTGCTGTTGACTGAATGACTGACTGCCTGACAGACTGACTGATCGAATGACCCACTGTCCTTCTTCCCTAAACCCAACCAACAGTATTTTAAAAAACACAGACTGACCCGCCCACCCACTTTTCTAAATCCAACTGACAAAATTGAAAAAGCAATAAAAAAAAAAAAAGAAACGCGGAAAGGAACGCCGTCATACTGCCCCATGGCGTTTGGTATAAAAATTAAAAGTGAAACGTAAATAGGGCTACGCTTTCAGAATGAGCATGTGTTGCATTTTTCATAACTTTTTCATATAAATAAAAGCTTATCCCATGGACCATTTAATACCCTGCAATTTTAGCCCAAGGATAAATCAGAATCGCATGATAGCGGAGAAGCTCTACAAATCGTCTTTAGCTCTTCAAAATTGTGTTTTTGAAATCTAAGCTAAGTATAAGATCGAAGAGCCTTACTGGATTCATTCATGCAATCCTCAATAAAAAACTAGCCTTTCTAATTCAGATCTCTCAGAAACCTCTTGCATAAGGTCTCTGGAGGCATAAGAAGCCCTGCTGTTTTGGACGACCATCAAAAATATTCACTAAGAAGGGATAACAAAAGGACCCTGAGAAACTGAGGAGAAGTTTTCTTTTGTTGGTGCATGTTTGGAAATGCTGTCAAATAGAGCTCTCTTAATATAACTTGACCTAACTTAAAACAAAAACAGCTGTTTTGAAGATTTGTTTTCTTCTGTTCTTGTGGAACTCAACAGAAACTGGAACTTTAACCTACTTTTTTAAAGGTGCAAAGTTTAAAAACTAAACATCTCAAAGCCTCTCAGGAGCCCTAGGTGCTGTGGACGTGGTGGTAGAAAAGGGTGGCATCCTCTTACTCTTTGTTTGTCTGTCCTTAGGTGTGGGACTCGCCACAGTGGTGATTTCTTATGTGCTCTGCACCTACTACAACGTGCTCATGACCTGGGCTCTGTACTACTTACTTCATTCATTCAGTCCTTCATTACCATGGCAGTCCTGCAACAACACTTGGAACACAGTTGCCAACTGCTCCACTGGTTTTCCAGGCAATGCTACACATCTGCAATCAGCCAGTCAACAGTTCTTTGAGTGAGTGCAAACTTTTTTTACTGAAGAGTAGGCTTGTATGCTGGTATCACATATTATCCTTATATTGACCTAAGCTATTAAAAAGGTTATTTTAACATAGGGCTGGGCGATTAATCAAAGTAATTGAAATTCAGATCCTATAATTGATCAATTTTCAAGGTCAATTTTTTCCCAAGTTCTTTCCGTACTGTGTGGAGTCCTGTGACACCGATCTGTTAAGGCTAATTTATACTTATTATATTATGATTTATACCTATTATATTATTCTGATATTATACTTCTGACAAGCTCACGTGTACGGTCCGGCACAGCCATCGCATACCCGGGCACCTCTCAAAAAAGTGTAACTACATATCACAACGAACGACACGTATCACAAGCAATGGGATTGGTAACGAGAGTGGGTTGTGCGGAGAGCCACATTTAAGGCAATGTGTTTTTTAATTTCAGTTGTTCAGCATTTATGTTCAATATATAATAATAGATTGTGTGTGTTTACTTCATTTTAAAATCAAATAATGCACCCTTCATTTAAAAATCTCTCACTTGTAATATGTGAGCATATTTACTGTACAAAACTTGTGAGTGAACTGTGAGGGCTAAAACATAAAATAAATAAAAAATAATCCTTCATTAATCGTAGTCTAGTTATAATGTTCAATTATTTGAGATTTTGATTTTAGGCCAAATCACCCAACCTTACTTTAACAGAAAAAAATCCCACAAAAATAGTGTATTAGTTTATTGTATATACATGTTTAGACTCAAATGCTTCAATAATTTAAAGTGTGAAAGGATGATAAACCATTTTGAGAGACGTAAACAATAACAATGGTCCTAACCTATTTCCTGTTTTACGTTTTTATTTTAAATAGCTTCCAAGAACCCAAGAAGGTCCACATATCGATAATGTTATGATAGCTGTTTTAATGTTAAGTCATGATTGAATTAGCTCTTGTTATAGTTATGAAATAGTTTATCAGCAAGCAAGTAATGTTCATGGAGCAATGACATCACCACAGTTAGTTAATGCATTGAAATAAACAGTAAGAAATAATCACGTTTATTTTAGTTACTATATTAAAGTTAGTTCCCGCATTTAATAAAACGATTACAACTTTTAGACATTCTATGGGTTTTTATTAGGCCTTAACTTATAAATTGACATCACTTAAAATAAATAAAAAGCATTTGTATTTAAATAAAAGCATTTTTTTAGTTTAGTTAAATAAATGAATGTTAATAAAAGTCTTACTGTACAGTGTGAACAAACAATATGCCTATAAATAATTCAGTCAACATTTTACTACAACATGTTGTAGGCCAGATTAAAAGGTGAAAATGATTATGTTTAAAAATAAACAGCCTGTTATGTCTTCAGGCATTTGTTGCTGTAATGAAAAGACACTGACAAAACAATAATCTAAGTGTTCTGAGAGTAAGCACTCTAACAGTTGAAATAATAGTTTTTTATTCATGGTGTTTTAAAGTCCCCACAATGTCAATATTTTGCATGTTTATTATTACGATATATTAAATTACTGAATACAGTGGTCCCTCGTCATTCACGGGAGTTCCATTTAAAAAATAACCTGCAATAGGCGAAATCTGCCAAGTTATGTAGTTATATCCGCAAAGTTATTCTAGATGTTTTAAGGCTGTAAAACCCCTCACTACACACTTTATACACTTTTCTCGGGCAGGCATTAACATTTTCACACTTTTCTCTTGTTTAAACGCTCTCAAAATTTAAACCTTCGTAGAAAAATAAGTCCAGTATTGTTGAATGAAACCAAAGATCAAAACCATTTGATCTTTAACTATTTATTCCGTAATGGCGCAATACGTCCGCGTAACTTCTACCTTCCTTTGTCCAGAAGTTTTTGTGCGACGGTTAACATCTTCCTCTGCCTTTTGGGTGCTACCACAGGTGTCTTTGAGGGTGCAGATCGTTTCATCGACATTGTGGGGAGAAAACTTGAAAACGTACATTACAGCACTTCAGAGTCACACTGCTAGTGATTTAAAGCTTTATGTAAATTTGGCAAGATGAACGCGTTCTGTACTGTACAGGAGACACGGCATGAATGAGATTAATTGACAATGGTCTACAGCCAGTCAGGACACAGTATGCAGAAGTATGCAGAACACGCATCCGCATTTCCGCAGTGTAGAAAAAAAGCATGACGAATTGCACAAAAAAAATTTGCGAAACTGCGAGGCCATGAAAAGTGAACCGTATTATAGCGAGGGATCACTGTATTGTGACATGTCTAGTTTGACATCTTTGCCAGAGCTTGATTATAGCTGTGTACTGTATGTATTGTCTTTCGGTATTGGGGACAATTCATTTATTGTAATCGGTGTTAATGGAACATTTCAAAAAGTTACTTTTCAGTGTTTGCATAAATAGAGTTTGTGTGTGTGTGTGTGTGTGTGTGTATATGTATGTATATATATATACATACATACACACACACAGTATAGGCTGATAGGTTCTTTATATGACTTCTGTAAGCAGCAACATTATGTTGTGTATAGTGTGTTCATCGATGACGTGCTTGTGCTTTTTAAAGTTGTAATGTTTGTTTGTGTATGTGTGTGTTTTTCAGTCATAAGGTGCTAGAAATGACCTCTGGGATTGAGCGTGCTGGAGGGGTTCGCTGGGAACTCTTTGGCCTTCTAGTCCTGGCCTGGGGCATTGTTTATTTCTGTATCTTTAAAGGGGTCAAATCCACCGGAAAGGTCCGAGTTTAGAGTTCACATCAATTCTAAATGACAGATGATAAAATGTGTGGAATAATTTAAATTAAACCCCCAATATTGGTTATCATTGAATTAATGAATTTCAGTCTAGTAGTTAAGATCTATTTAAATTAAATAATCGTTTTTGTCCTTTTTTATCACTAATTTCAATCTTTTTGTTGACTATAGGTTGTGTACTTCACTGCAACATTCCCTTATTTTATATTGTTTGCATTGCTGGTTAATAATGTCCAGCTGCCTGGAGCAAAAAATGGGATCCTCTTCTTTCTCATGCCAAACTGGAGTAAACTGCTGGAAGTGCAGGTGAGATCATTTGAGTAAACACTCATGAGTCACAGAGGAGTTGCTGCTCAAGATTAGATTAGAGCTTATATGAGGTACTACCATATCATTACTACAGCACCACTCATAAACAACTACATTGTTGTGGAAATTGTGGCTGTTTACTATTTGACATATAATTGACACTTGGTGCAGTTAATCAGCAGGTCCGGAGCCGGTGTAATATAATAACTTTAAAACCTCCAAATCTTCGCAACACATATTATAAATAGGACATTATATGAATTGAATAGTTTTCCTATTTGTGGTGCATGTACAAATTCTCATACAACATGTGGAACTCTGTAATTACACATTATTGTTATTTAAGGAGATCTGATTACTATAAGATCAGAGGAATTTTGAACGTTAACTACAAAAAATGTGATTAAACTGCTTGTAGACCTTCTGGCTTACAAGGACTTAAAAAGCAATTATGGTATACAAATTCTGCTTCAATTACACTTTTAAAACATGTTTGTATATAATACAAAATATGGACACAAATACAAACTTGTATGTTTTTGTTAATCTTATGTTGTAGGTGTGGGTCAATGCAGCTGCTCAGATCTTTAACTCCATTGGCATCTCCTTTGGTTCCATGATATCTATGGCCAGTTACAACAAATACAACAACAACATCCTTAGGTAAGAGATATAGCTATGGTGCTTTTTTCAATAATACAACAGAGGCGTAGGTGCTGATTTTTAACAATTTTAAAAACTATTTTTACTTCAAATAATTTCCATGAAATGTAAAATTAAAGTAAGGTTGCCTACTTTTGCTTTTATATTTATTGCACTGAAAGGGTTTGTTATATTCCTGAAGGCCACGAGTCTCTCATCAGTATTCATTCTGATTTTACAGGGACACATTTATTGTCTCTTTGGCTAATTCAGCCACAAGCATTGTGGCCGGCTTTGTTATTTTCTCTGCCATCGGGTACATGGCCCACATTCACAACCTACCTGTAGATGATATCGCCACAGATGGTAAGAGGTTTTTTTTTATTATTATTTTTTTTTCCTGTATTGTCAGTTTCTAGTCCTTCATTCTTCTTGTGTGTTTGCACACAATTCTTTGAATCTAGACTATTTACTGTCAGATTTTTACAAATCACAGCTCAGCACTTTGATTTTTCCTATAGTTTAGTATTTTGCTAGTAGTTATTCCCTATACAGTAGCTGCAAGGACTGTTTCTAAACTATTTTAAATGCCTCTGTTTAATTGCAAAGTTTTCATTTAGATTTAGATTAAATAACTAAAACTTAAACATAACTAAAAAAAAAACTGGGCAACACGGTATTGCAGTGGGTAGAACAGTCGTCTCAAAGCAAGAAGGTCGCTGGTTTGAGCCCCAGCTGGGTCAGTTGGCATTTCTTTGTGGAGTTTGCATGTTCTCCCGGTGTTTGTGTGGGTTTCCTCCACAAGTCCAAAGACATGCGGTATAGGTGAATTGGGTAGGTTAAGTTGTCTGTAGTGCATGTGCGTGAATGAGTGTGTATGGGTGTTTCCCAGTGATGGGTTGCAGCTGGAAGGGCATCCGCTGCATAAAACATATACTGGATGAGTTGGCGGTTCATTCCGCTGTGGCGACCCCAGATTAATAAAAAACCTAAGCGGAAAAGAAAATGATGAATGAAAAAAATATCTGTATAGGCATTTAAAAACGACAGTCACAAAAGCAGCAAGTTATTGTGATATTAAATGTAAAATAAAATGTAAACTTAAAATGATCAGTAATACTTAAATAACCCGGCTGTACACAAGGAGGTCTATCATAGCTAAATTATAACATTTACCATGTCATGGATGGACATATATAAGTAAACAGGAATTTTTGCAGTCTCCAGAATTTCCTTAATATGTACAATATATCCTATGCACATTGCTCTCTTTAATGGTGCTCTGACACACTGAATATCAGTCATTACATTATTATTATTAAATGGTTATATTAAATTGTCAATGATTCTTTTTACAAAATACAGCTATCTTTTTATTTACAGTTAAAACATTTTCATTTGGCTGTGGATGCTCGCATTTTAAGTGTCTACAGCTTGATGGGATGTGCAAAAATTATTGTGTCACTGAAGTAGGTATGCCTAGTTTTATTTAGGTTAACAATAAATCCATTAATTGATAATTAATTTAAATCATGATCAATTTATGGGAATTTGTGGATATTGACTTTTTATTGATTTAAATTAAAATCCTAATCCATGGTAATCTGCACAGATCAGGACATTGGCAGTGCGAATTCTGTTGTAAGATATTAGTAAAAGTTAAAAGGATAATTCATCCCAACATTAAAATGAACTCACCATTTACTCACTCTCATGTTAATTTATACCTTTATGAGTTTCTTTCTTCTGCTGAAAACAAAATATGTATTGAAAAAAAGCTGAAAACCTGTAATCAATGACTTCCATTGTAGGAAAAACAAATACTATGAACGTCGATGTCGTTTCCAGCGTTCTTTTATATATCTTCTTTTGTGTTCAAAGGAATAAAGTCAAACAGGTTTTGAAATAAGTGAAGAGTAAATCATGACAGAATTTATACTTGTGTATGAACTATCCCTTTTATGCACATAACAAAGACAGAGAAAGACCTTGCAAGCTAATGAAATAAGATTGTTGTGAGAATTTCAGTTTCATTCATGAAGCAGGATAAAAAAATAAAAAAGGTCTTGTTCTGTAACACCAGAGAGAGAATAAGTATGAGAGGAGGTGAAGGGTGGATTGGGTTGTGCCAGAGAACAAGAATAAAAGAGACTATTCATGGAAGAAACAGAATCAGGAGGAAACACAGAAAGGTGGGCAGAGATGAACGGCATGAATACAAAAAAACAATGATAAACAATGTCCTTGAGTTGTGAGCTGCCCTCAGGATATATCAGGAAAGCTACACAGTGCATTACAAAATCATTCATTTTGCCTTTATATTACAGTACTGTTTATTAAAACGTTATTCGAGATCAGCTGTTTATACCAGTATAAATCAGTTTTAATTTAAAACAGAATGCTGCTTCCCTCAGAAAGCTTATCATCTGATGAACACTGTTCTACTTGAGAATAAAACTGATTAGCTTGCACTACTGTTTTTTTGTAATTATGTATTTTGCCGCAATACCTTCTATGTCTCCTCAGAGAAAACATCTCTGCCTCATTTACGTTCAAATTTTCAACATGATTTCACACAGCAGTCAACCTTCATCTCAGAACAGCAGGAAGATCTTTTCATCTGAGAAATGCACACTGTTAACCCTTACTGTAGATTATGCAGTACATAACTGTAAAATAGCCAGTGTTTTGCTGTAATGAAAAGAAACAGTATTTTACTGTAAAAGGAGTAGTATTCGTATGACATTGTGTAGTGCAAATGATAAATTACAGTAATTTACTTTACGTACACATTACAGGTAGTAACTGTGACAATAAATGGCAAATTACTGTTCAACCTGTACTGTCCCATCTACTCTGATGCTTTATGTTGCTAATTATAGAGACGTGCATTTTAAAGGCAGAAAATAATGATTTAGGCATCACCAGACACTACCACAGGCTGTCTTATTCTTAACAAAAAAGTTTTAGAAGTTTTAGTTTTCAGAAAATGCTGGCCCTTTAAGGGAGTCTGGTGTTTGACTTGTTTACTGCTGAATGTGCTCTATTCTCTATCAATTCAGATGCAGAGTCTGATATGTTTTAGGCTTTAAATAAGAATCTACAATGAGTAAGTAAAATGTGTTCAAATTAATTTTGAGGGTTTCTAAAATAAGGCTGTGTTTTAAGTTATATTGTTGTTATCTTGAACAGTGTACTTGAAAGCTACATTGTTAGCTAGTTAGCCTCTCCTCATATAACTTCTTACATTACTTTTGTTTAAGTATATTTATTTATTGGATATTGCATATTGTCAAAATGTACAGATGCTAACAGTTTCATGTATCTTTCTGGCAAATAAGCAGATTTTATGCACATAAAAACCATTAAATTCCATCATCTCAGTAAGGTAACATGTGCACAGAAATCATCACAGGGAATCACAAAAATATGATACACATAACCATCCACACACAAAAGCTCCACTGTCAGGTCCCAGGTTGCGAGTTTGTTGCTAAGTATTTTTCAGAGCTGTGTATCCACCTATAAATTTATATTAGAAACAATAGAAAAGTTCGTTGTCATGAGATTTTTAAAGTAAAAAAATAATAATTATAACAATAAAAGATTGGATCCTTTGGATTTTCGGTGTTGCCGACTTTATTTTTGTTTTTTTATAATTATTTAAAACTTTTTATTGAGATTTGACAGTATGTGCCTGTGTTTGACAAATATGTTTTTATCTATATCTCTATCTATGTGTTCCTTTCATATGCTTATGTTTTAATTATTTAAAAAATAAAATAATTATTTTGTGTTTTTTGCTGTTCAGTTTTTTATGCATGTTTTGCATTGAGGAGAGAGTAACACATTTCACTGCAGCACTTTCTGTGTGTGTGTGTGTGTGTGTGTGTGTGTGTGTGTGTGTGTGTGTGTGTGTGTGTGTGTGTGTGTGTGTGTGTGTGTGTGTGTGTGTGTGTGTAAATGTTGAAAGTTGCTTTAAAAGTATGCTATGTACCAGGGGTGCTCAATTCTGTACCTGGAGATCTAAATTCCTGCAGATTTCAGTTGCTACCCATATTAAACACACCTAAACCAATTAATTAGGACCTGAACACCACTTGATAATTACAGGCAGGTGTGTACCATATACCTATACTATATACCATGGGGGTCAAACTCCAAGTTGCTGGAGAACTGCAGCGCAGCAGAATTTAGTTCCCACCCTGCTTCAACATTACCTGTAGATTTCTAACGAGCCTTAATTAGTTTTATCAGGTGTGTTCAATTAGAGTTACAGCTTAAAGTCCTGGTCACACTGCACTTTTCTCCCTATAGACTTTCATTCATACGCATGTGAATGCTGCAGACTGGAATGATAGCTCATGCGACAAATTTTACAGTTTGCAGCATTGGAAAGTTCAAGCTTGGAGAACTCTGACCTGCGAAATCACATCATGTGATTGCTTGAGACTAATCAAAGATCAAACCATGACCTCTCTGAACAAACATTATGGACCAGTCGCTTGCTTTTTCAATCTCTAATTATTTTGTTTAAACCCACTCCTTTTCGCAGTGCCATATGACAGAATTTCGCATGCTCAAACGTTAGTGTGACCACAGCCTTACTGTGCAGACCTGTGGCTCTCAGTAATATGTAAGACAATATTTATATCTGCTGATTTCTTAATTTTTATACATTTTCTGTTGTATATTTGTTTGCTGCCAAAACAATAAAATAAATTTGTCAGATTTTTTATGCCTTCTATTTTTAATAACAGGTTAGAATACTAATTAATTTTAGTAACACCTTGACATACTATTAATGTGTATGCAGTATAATGCTGTGAGTTGTAACACTACAGTACAGTAATTAACTGTACACAGTTTCCAGTTAGTTACCACTACTGCTCTATTACAGTAATTAACTGGCAACACTGTTGCCAGCTACTCACTGTAATGGTTCGGTTACAGTAAATAACTGGCAACACTGTTGCCAGCCACTCACTGTAATGGTTCAGTTACAGTAATTAATTGGCAACACTGTTGCCAGTTACTTACTGTAACCAAAGTTTTACAGTGAGTAGCTGGCAACAGTGTTGCCAGTGTTCTACTGTAAAAAAGCCTGGTAAGGTCTAGCAGTGCAGATATAATTGCAGTGTTGCTCAGTGTTTTTCATCATATGAAAAGGTTTATTGTCTCCTTCACTTTCATTCTTTCACTCTTTGTCCCTTGAAGAAAAAGACAGCAGCACAGCATTCTTCCCTTAACACTGCGTTACATTAAACTATTGGTACCACACACTACTTGGCAATTGAAAACATCGATTACTGTAGATTTGCCAAAAGTGAAAGATTTTTTCCCTTTGTTGGCTATGAACTTTGTAAGCAGTGCTTATGTTGGCATAACAAAGAGGATTATCAAAAAATTGAACAAAAAGCAGGTTATGTGGCATACTGAGTACTGCATGTATATATATAACCATCAACTCTCAGTAATGTGAGTGGCTATAGCAAGTGGATTGTCTCAACCATAGAGATGATAGTTTAAGGGTTAATTTATGTGTATGAATTTCAAATTTATGATACTCCAGTTGGCATAACAGATTTCATACATATAGTAATGTATTTTAGTAATAAAGCACTGTCATAACATAAAGCAATGTTTATTTTATTCAAATAGATATATAATAGCCATATATATATATATATATTTTTTTTTTGTTCTATATTTTTTTGGATCTGCATTTATAAGGCTGAATGTGATTTCACTTTCATGCATGGGACATTTTACAAATAATGTATTTCTATAATTACTAAGAATGCAGACTAATTTACACCATACATTCACTGTAGAAACAATGTCTAAAAATGTAGATAGTCAAGTATCTTTGCAAGCACAGACCATTTATATTTAGTCAATCGGTCTGTCTTCTTTATTTGGATATTTAACATCAAACAATACACAGTAGTAAATATAAAAAATAAGTTGCTACTCATATTTATGGAATATAGTAGTAAATAACAATGTTTAACCATTCTCATTTTTAATATTTTTTTATTTAAATGTCCTTATCTTGAAGTAAAGTGAGATCTCTTCTTTGATTGTGCGACAGCCTGTCACTCATGTGAAACCGACCACCAAACTACAGCAATGGAATCAATTTTTGGCAGGATGGTACTGTAATGAACGATGTGACAAGTTGAACGCTCCAAATGCAGCTTTATTAAAACAAAGGGATGTTTTAATAAGAGGTAAAAGGGCTAATCCAATAGAGAAATCCAAAAAGACAGGCAATGGTAAGGACAGACAGAAAGCACTTCGAAAGCAGTCCAAAATCAAAACACGGGAAATACAACAACAGGGAGAACCATTTGGTGTTGCACATTAAAGCTGCAGTCACACTGAATTTCTCTCCCCATAAACTTTTATTCATAAGCACACAAATGCATCAGACCAGAAATGCAAGCTTGTACGAAAAGTTTTACAGTTCGCTGCATTGCAAAGTTCAAGCTTGGTGAACTCTGACCTGCGAAATCACATCACTTGACTGCGTAAGACCAATCAAGGATCAAAACATGACCTTTCTGGACAGAAATTTAAAATATGGACCAATCACTCGCTTTTTTAAAATGTCTAGTCATTTTGTTTAATCCTGCCCCTTTTCACAGTGCCATACTACAGAATTTTGCATGCTCAAACTGTAGTGCGAATGCAGTTTACAGTATTACAAGACTGAGCAGAGAATGTGTGTGAAAGAGGTGCTTATCTTGTGTGTGTAATCAGTGTAAATTAACTGCAGGTGTGTGTAATTAAAGTTCATGAACATCAGGTGTGAGGTGTTAAAGATTCTAGGATCTGGTTTAGTGGCAAATGTGGTGTAGAGCGCCCTCTAGTGTGTCTGGTTGCCACTCAACTTGATGACAAAGGATGACAGATATTGTCAGAATTAGGGATAAACAACGTGAAAACATAGATCCATCCTGTCTTGCTGGTGGTGTAATGGTGTAGAGGTTGTTTTATTTACACCCTTGTGCTCAGCAGTATCAATTAAGAATCATTTAAAGGCCATCAATTTCTACCTGAATATTATTGCTTTCTACAATCATCCTTTTGAATGCATCTTGTAATGGTTACTTCTTGCAGTATAATCCACTATGTTACAAGGCTCAAATCAACTGAAACTGAATTCTCTAAACGTGAAAGTGAGTTTATAATCACTAGATCTGTTTACTATCACTAGATAATCACAGAGAACCTTTAGAATCTGCTGGAACTGGAAATTCACATACTGTAATGGATGTGCAGTCAACAAATCTGCAGGAATGACGTGATGCCAGCATGTTAGTATAGAGAAAAAACATTCTGGGGAATGCTTACAATACCTTGTTGAATCCATCTCATGAAGAATTACAGCATTTCTAATGGCAAAAGGCCCAACCCATTACTTGCAAGAATAAAATAGCTAGTGAGTGTCAATAGGGAAGAAAAGGCTATTTCCATTTCATGCCAACTTTAAAGATTAGAAGAGATAATAATAAAAATGATCACTGCATGCTTCTTGTGTTTGTTTCCATGGTGACACTTGGATTCACTGCACTGCAGAGAATGAAAACATACATCTTTTAGCAATAAAGGTTTTGGTTAAAACGTTGTGTGTGTGGAAGCTTGTTAAAACTGTTTTCTGGAACACTCCCTGTGGTCATGTCTTTCTTGATCAGTGATTTTTGGTTTGTTTGTTTGTTTGTTTTCTGCAGGGCCTGGTCTGGTGTTTGTGGTGTATCCTGAGGTGTTCTCCACCATGCCAGTTTCTCAGCTCTGGGCTCCTCTGTTTTTCATCATGTTGCTGTGCCTCGGACTGGACAGTCAGGTAAAATAGGCCTCAAAAACGTGCATGCTCTAATAAGCAGCCTTTGTGTGGTACATTCAAAAAAGCATGTAGCTACCTTCAAACAAACCATTCACATAAGACATGCTTTTGTTTTTAACTGTTCCTGGGCCTCACTTTTTCAACATTCATTCCTTTTTTCATTTTCAATCGGCTTAGTTCTGGATTTTTCAGGAGTTGCCACTTTGGAATGAACCGCCAACTTCTCTTGCATATGTTTAACCCAGGAGATCTTTTTCAACATTCATTCATTCATTTTCCTTCGGCTTAGTCCATGTATTTATCAGGGGTCACCACAGCGGAATGAATGGCCAACTTATCCAACATGTATTTTACGCAGCAGATGCCCATTCAGCCTCAATTCAGTACTAGGAAACACCCATACACTTGCATTCACACACATACACTACATACACAATTTAGCTTATTCAATTCGCTTATACTGCATGTCATTGGACTGTGGGGGAAAAACGGATCTGGACTGTGGCCTGTGTAGCGGTGACATGCGGTGTAGGTGAATTGAAAAAGCTGAATTGGCTGTAGTGTATGTGTGTGAATGAGAGTGTATGGGTGTTTCCCAGTGATGGGTTGCAGCTGGAAAGGCATCCACAGCATGAAACATATGCTGGATAAGTTGGCGGTTCATTCCGCTGTGGCGACCCCTGAATAATAAAGAGACTAAGCCGAAAATAAAATGAATGAATGAACATCGCGTTCTGCAGTTTTCTTCCCTGCAGAGTACATGTGATGCTGCCTTGGTACATTTTAGCAAAAGCCACAGGTGGTGAATTGGCTTATTTTGTCTTCTTTCATTGGTGCTATCAGTTCCTGCAGCTGTAGGCCGAGTCCTCCCAATGACCTTGTACATTCTCAAGGTTTGTTGACAAGCAGGAAATTCGCTGAATCTGTTGGGCTAAAAAGGGATTATTTTTATCATCTGCTTTTATTCCTCTGATTATGAATGGCCAAAATCATAATTCACAGGACTACACATGCTTTTTCTAAAATTCTCTTTAAGCTGTGAAATATCTGATTCTTTATTGCAAATTTTTTTTTAAGAAGATTATAATTACCAGGTTTATTTACACTGTAAAAAAATTACATGATCAGTTAGTCCTGACAACATGTTTTTAGGTCATTGTAACCTATTAGACTAAGTTAATCATGTTTTAACTTTATTTTATAAGTTACGCAAGCTGTTTTAAGTCAATTTAACATAGTTCAAGTTCAATAGACTAATAAGGTTAAATTAATTCAGCTTAAAAATGTAAGTTTTTTTTACAGTGTAACTTATGTACAATGTATTACACGTATATGCATACTTTATATACTTTTGTTAATATACCTTTTTATAATTTGGCATTTTTGTACTTTTATGTGTGTGTATCTGTGCAGTTTGCCATGGTGGAAGTGGCTGTGACCTTCATCATGGATGGTTTTGGCAGGAAGGCTTTGAAAGTTTTTAAGAGGAAGGAACTGATCGTTCTGGCCGTTTGTAGCTTTGGCTTTCTGCTTGGGATTCCACACATTACAAGGGTAAATATACTCTAGTTTCACATGTTTGCAAGGCGAGAAGGTAGTTTGAGCTCAGGTAGATCTCGAGAACACCCCTGCTGTAGTAGCTAATGAACAGATAGTGATTGCTCTTAAGTGATACTTAGGTGCATGTCTAAGGTGGCGATTTGGATTAGTCAATTAACTTAGATTGTATGTTTCTGGACGGTGATAGGAAATCGGGGGAAACCCACTGAGCACGGGGAGAATGGGTTAATTCTGCACATAAACGTCAGCTGGCTTAGTAAGGACTAGAACCAGTGGCGTTCTGGCTGTGAGGCAACAGTGTTAACCACTGGGCCACCGTGCCATCCTTCTAGGAAGGAGAAGGAGTAGGGGGGAAGGGGGGAATTCTTCAAAACAAAGATGGCTGCCATATGGAACTTATACCTTCATATCTCACTTAGGGTATTTATAGTGGCTTAGGAATCATCTGATTGGTTAATTAAAAATTGGATAATGCGAGACTAGCCTCAAGCAATTATAAGCACCTGATCCTCTAGAAATTAGTTTATAAATAAACTTTACCAAGTAATAAATAACAACATTTGTCTTCATATTTTTTAAGCATTTTAATGTGTGTAAAATGCTGTGTTTACTGTGTGAATGAGCATTTTTGAGGAATGATTCTTTTTTTTTAACTGAACAGTTTGAAGTGATTTTTCTTGATTTTTTACATATATATTATGAACTATAAACAATAAATAATATTGTGTGTGTAGGGTGGGATATATGTGTTTCAGCTGATGGATCACTACACAGCTGTGGTGTCTCTGATGTTTCTGGCCTTCTTCGAGGTGCTCGCCGTCACTCTCATATTTGGTGAATGTCACATCCTTTTGTTTGTTCTTGAGATCATAGAAAGATCAGATCAGATCAGATCTGGCCGTTGTATTGCTGCTAACACTGAGATACGAAGATATGAAGGTTCACGTTTTTTCATTTTGCTTTCTCTCGCACGTGCAGGAGTGAAGCGGCTCAGTGTAATGGTGGAGAACATGCTGGGAAAGAAACCTAACCTCTTTTTCCGAATCTGCTGGCAGTACTTGTCACCTATGCTTGTGCTGGTAAATGAAAACAAATCTGATAAAATTGTCATGCTAGGTTGATCTGTGGTTCAGAGTAAATGGCTAGTTCTGATATATTGATTCTGTCTTTTAAATTAGTCCACGTTTTCCCAAAAAATACATCTATTTTTTTGTTAGGTATCAGTGATTCATTATTTTCCTGCTGTGGTGGGAAAATAATCGTCTGAGAAATCAATTCTGCCTCAAATTGCATTGCTATTCTCTCTTGAATCGATTCTCAGTGTAGTTTTTACCAGCAGATGGCACTGTGTCCTTTACAAAAAAAAAAATACTCCGCTTGAATTCAAATTCTCACAAAAACCACTTAAGTCTATTCATTCCTTTTCTTTTCCGTTTTGTCCTTTTATTAATCAGTGGTCGCCACAGTGGAATGAACCGCCAACTTATCCAGCATGTTTTCACAGCGAATTCCCTTCCAGCCCCAACCCAACACTGGGAAATACCTATACACACTCATACGCTACAGCCAATTTAGCTTGTTCAATTCACTCATAGCACATGTGTTTGGACCTGGACAAAACCTTTGAGAACGCAGGGAGAGCATGCAGCCTTCACACAGAACTGCCAACTGACCCAGCCTGGGCGCGAACCAGCGACCTTCTTGCTGTGAGGCAATCATGCTACCCACTGCGCTACAGTGACACCCACTTGAATCTATAATAAGTATTAATAAAATTGGGATGGGTTTAGGAAAATACAATAGTCTTTGTGTTTACATTACAATCTTGTGACAAGCTAATTTTTAAAATTTGATGTGAGCATTTGCGTGTGGTTGAAAACTAGTCTAGAGCGCCATCTGCTGTTAAAAACTAGCTGATCCATGCAGAATCGATTTCTCAAAACATTTTTTTTTGCCATAGCTTTAAAGTATTCTATTAAGTATCAATAACAAAACAAACAAACAAACAAAAAATCTATGACAAAACATGCTTTTTTCAAAACCTTGAGTGCACATCTTTACCCAGGACGCAGGGACCCTAAATTCCCTAAATAAAACAGAGAGACAATTTCAGCACATATAAAGGTCTTTAAAATCTTGAAGGAACTTAAATAGACTTAATTTTATAAATCTCCTAGAGTTTGCTATTTTTGAATCCATTCAGTCGATCTCTGGGTCTGGTAAGAGGACTTTTAGCTTACAATAAAATCACATAGTCTTTTGAATCGGATTAGAACTTTTAATAACTAGAAGAGGGTTAACAATTTTCCTATTTAAAGCTTGACTCTTCTGTAACTACATTGTATACTAAATAAAAAAGTTGCTATTTTCTTGAGCAATATGGCGAGGAACTATCATGTCATATGACAATAATCAACTATGCAACCATGGAGACATTAGTGAGAGACTATTTAAAATTATTTTCAGGCACTGCATATTATCTTCCATGGCTGCAGCCATGGAAAGGCAGCAAAGTTTCCTGATTATTACACCAATGTTATAGTTCCTACTGCACAATATACAACGTAACTACAGGAGAGTCAAGCTTTAAATAGGAAAAGTGTTGAATAGATTCAAATATGGTTAAACGCAACAGTTTAACTGAAAAAATGAGTCCATTTCCAAACAAGGTTTAGTGTTCCTTTAAGCAACATTAAAAGCATCTGACGTGTTGATGATAGTAGATATTTAGATATTTTAAAAGTCCTGTTCAGTGTTTTAAAACAGTAGTAAACAAGTAATCAAAAATGCAACCTTCAAATATGAGACAAATTCTGCAGTAAATCAGCTCTACAGAACATTATAATTTCATTATTCAGCTCAAGTGGCTTTAATGATGATTCAGTTCAGTTTAGTTTCAGGAAAGATCACTAATTGTGAAACCAGTTGAGCTCTAAGCAGCTCAACAGAAAGCAATCATGAAGAATGGATCAGTGGAGGCCTGTTTAAGTGAACATCTAATGATAATGTGTCTCTGTCTGCAGGGTATTCTGATCTCCAGTATTGTCCAGTATACTCCGGCTCGATACGGCAAGTCCTACACGTACCCGCTGTGGGCAGAGTTGTTGGGCTGGTTCATCTCTCTGGTCTCTATCATATGGATTCCTCTAGGGGCTCTTCATGAGCTTTGGACCACCGAAGGCTCTCTGCTGCAGGTAAGAGCAGTCCACAAACATCACTTTATCAAATATTTGCTTTGTTTCTCTATGTCAAAATGAACCCGGCTCCTCTTTCTATCTCTGTCACAGAGGTTGAAAAAATCCATAACTCCGACTGTAGATCTGGAGTCCGTTTCAGAGAAACCATCTACTGAGTCCATCGCACTGTTTAATGCTCCATAGAAACTAGTGTGTGTATGTGTGTGTTTCTGTGTGTCTATGTGTTTCTAAAATGTTCATTCATAAGAAGTACAAAGATAATCTGCTTAAACGGTAAAAACTGTTTTTACTAGTGTATGTATATTTCAGATTATTGCTCGAGAGAACTCAATGCTCAAAATGGTCCCAGAATTACAAATGGCATGAATAATAATGCCATCTTTTTTATAACTGAGTTTTTTAATATGTATTTATTATTTGATTGTGACAGCTGTCTAGAGTAAAAAAACAGAAAAACTTAATGTCAAACATTAAAGATATTATGCATATTTTTCTTCAAGTTAAGAAATGTAAAATATATCACAACCTAAAGACAGAGAAATATGATTTTTGTTGTTTTTTCCACTGTGTTTTCATATGCTCCGTTAAGCTTTTAAATGATCACGTTTTGAGCTTTAGCTTTGCTGAAATATTTCCTTTGATACACTGATTTAAAGACTGACAGAACCCTAAGATTAAGTTGATTATTAGGGACAAACTTGATTTTACAAAAGATTATTTAAGAAGTCAGAATCTGATGCCACTGCACTGTCAAACACCTGCGCAAACAAAAAACAAGCAAAGAAATTTATTATGTTTAATTTTATTATGTTAATTTTATTATGTTAGTTTATTATGGCACAGCAACATCCACATTAACAAGCTTAAGAAAATGTAGATTTTATAGATCATGGAAAAAAGAAAGAAATGCAGTGTTTTCTGACGCCTTCGTGTTCACGATCACAACAGAACAATATTTTACAGCTGCTTTAAACTCCTGCAGGTTTTGCCCTCTACTTTGTTACTTGAACTGTGGCACATATTCTATATAGTGTAAACATATTCAGATTGTTTATCGATGAAAAAAAAAACTGCACAAGTTTACAAAAAAATTGAGTAAAATAAAAATTGTTGTACTGTAAGTAAAAATGTGTGTGCCCTTTTTAGCAAGCACTTTGTTGTCACCTTAAAGGCCTAAGCATTCTGATAAATAGGGGTTGTTAATAAATAAACATGTTTACTGTTTTTACTATTTTCTTTTTTAATAAACAGTTTTGCAGATTAGAAATTGCTTTCACAATGGTGAGCCAAAGTTTATATCAGAATAGCTTTGAGATTAAAATGAGAGGAATGCATATTTAAAACTTAAAATATTTTGTTTTAAATGAACAATTAGTAAGTTACCAGAGAAAATGGTGTACACTGAATGATTAAAATTTAAGTCTGTTTTAGTAAGGAGACAGAACAAAGCAATATAGATGTTGTAGAAATAATCTAATGAGAAAACATTTCCAGCAAGCATTTTTTGTTTTTAAAAGATATCTAATAGACGTCTAAACATAGTCGTCTTGGCTAAAACAAGGCTAAATTTGGGCTGTCAGTGAAAAACTAATTGACATCTAAGAATAGACCAAAACTAGACTAGTCATCAAATAAACAGAAATGAATGACTACACATATGAAGTCTGTCTGATCTGATCTAATCTAATTTGACGACTAGTCTAGTTTTGGGCTATTATACAATCTTTATTAGCTTTTCACTGACAGCCTAAGTTTAGCCTTGTTTTAGCCAAGCTGTCTACATTTAGATGTCTATTAGACATCCATTTAACACAAAATAGTTTGCTGGGTTATTACTGCTGTCATTTCTTAATGCATACGATATGCACATGTCATATTTTTGTGTTTATTTTGTGTTAAACCTAGTTTTGTTTTGTTAAAACCAAAAGTATCTGAGAAGGATAATTATTCATAATCACTGTTGTTTTCTAATTTGTCATGGATTGTGTATGAAAATTATGTTTTTTTAAAAGCTTTTTTCAAATATATATTTAAACATTTTCTTTTTTTTTGTCCTATGACTGGCAGTTTTATATGCAAGTTGTCTTATTAAAATAAAAGGCATTGTTTTGTTGTCAGTTTCTCATTTGTTTTGATTGTGTATGTGATATAATGAGTAGATTAATATGAGCATTCCCACTTCACCACAAGATGTCACTCCAGCACAACTACACTACTGATGTCAAAAGCTTTCATTTGTCTCAAACACAGGCAGGCAGTCCATTCATTCATACATTCATTTCTCAGTCGTTTTATTAATCAGTGGTTGCCACAGCAGAATAAACCGCCAAATTTTCCAGCATATGTTTTACACAGTGGATGCCTTTCCAGCTGCAACCCAACACTGGGAAACCTATACACTCTTGCATTCACACAGATACACTATGGAGAACTTTAGCTAATTCAATTCATCTATAGCACATATCTTTGGACTTGTGGGAAAGACTGGAGCACCCAGAGGAAACCCATGCCAACACAGGGAGAAAATGCAAACTCCACGAAACTATTTTATTTTTCATTTAAATGGGTAATTTTTCAGATAATTTTTGCAGATGTATTGTCACTAGTAAATCATTTGTTCTGACCAATTTCACAGAAAGATTTTATATGTAGTTTTGCATTTAAAAATAATACAGGTTTCCACACAATCCATTTATGTTTTCTCAACACAAGTTGATTAGTTTTAACAAATTTAAGTGGACTAAACATAAAACAATTTGTCTGAAAAAATCTCAAAAATTATGTTTGCGTTCATTCTAAGTAGTTTAAACAAGCAACAACAAACAATTCTAATTTTCAAAGTTAATGTAAAGTTTTAAATGAAGTTTATGAAGTAATTTCGAGAGGATCACGTGCTTATTGTTCTCAGCTGTTTCAGCATTAGCTTATGATTGAGTATTCAATCAGATGATTCCTATTTCACTATAAATAGTAGGAGGGGCTCAAACTCATAAGCTCAGGGCTCTCTCCTGGGACAACATGTCAAAAAAGCTTTATTATCAATCATCCGCTAAGTGTGAACTTTTGAAAGGTTATTTCATAATCTATCTAGGGCAGGGGTACCCAAACCTTTTTTAATGAAGGGCCAAAATCCAAGCTTGATTGAAAGCTGTGAGCCAAAGGTAAATATAGCAAACTGTATAATGTTAAAGTTGCTATGGGTAATTTTCTAACTTATTTCATATTAATTAAAAATAAAAAGCAAAAATTACCTGAACCATATTTACTAATGCATTCTAATTTTTTGAAAATGTATATTATTTTAACAAACTTTGCCTTGATTTGCACGCTGATGTCTTCTGCTTTGTCTCATATTCAGTGACACTGTACATTTCAAAAGATTGTTTCATTTACAACATTTAATTGAAACATTTTTGTTTGTTATTCATAGCTCAAACAATAAAACAAACTGACAAAAGGTTACATTAAAATAGAAATTAGAATCTTTTTAACCCTTCCCAATCCATTTCCCTATGGCGTGCCAAACCAAAGGATACAAAGGGCCAACTTTGTCCTATGGGCCCTAGTTTGGGCATCTCTGGTCTAGGGAAATAAAAATATGTAGTATTTGATATTGTATTTTCATACTGTAAAATTTACTAAACATTGACATTGTGTTCCTTTCAATTTATTATTCAATACAGCATTTTTAATGTAATTACAAATTTGTCTTCATGAAACAAAAATGTTTGTTATAAATGAATATTTTTTCAGTACTGGTCTTGGAGATTTAGGCCCAATTCAACAATTCTGCCACCCAAATACGTAAGTAGCACACATTTAGCACCACTCCACTTCTGAATGAGCACTTATTGTTTGTCACATCCAATGCACACTAGAGGTTATATAATCTGAACGACTTGATTTGTTGCATTTCCAGTGTCTGTTCTCTGTATAACTAAAGAGCAGAAGCACTAATAATAGTCGGTTGAGGCTGCAGTTTGGATGGCAGATCAATATACCCCGGCTCAATGCAACATCAGGCTGGATGCCACCACAGCGGCTCATTTACAGCTAGCAGCAGATCAATACACTGCAGCCTGAAACACTGCGCAGTCAGATGACAAGGACATTCGAGAGTGTTTGTTTCACCTGTAACCGCCTTTTTCCTATGTCCCATGATGCGTTGCGCCAAATATAAGCCTAACTTCCGTCAAATTGTAAACATTCGGTAAAATGTTTTAAAAAAAGTTTGTACAGTGAGGTGGAATTATTCAGCTATCCAGTGTTAAAAGGCAACTAAGTCGAATTAAAGGGATAGTGTGTATATTCTGTCAACATTCAGCCTACTCCTCATTCACTTGTTTCAAAACTGTTTTAGTTTCTTATTTCTGTCGAACACAAAAGATACACTCACCGGCCACTTTAATAGGTATACCTTATTAGTACCGGACTGGACCCCCTTTTGCCTTGAATCCATGAATCTCCCATTCCACCACATCCCAAAGCTGCTCTATTGGATTGAGATCTGGTGATTGTGGAGGCCATTTGAGTTTAGCGAACTTATTGTCATGTTCAAGAAACCAGTCTGAGCAGCCTGATCACATGAGGAAACATACATATTTTACAATTTGTCAGTTTAGTGGCTAATTTGAGATTCACGCTTTATGACATGGCACGTTATCCTGCTGGAAGTAACCATCAGAAGGTGGGTACATTGTGGTCATAAAGGGATGGACATGGTCAGCAACAATGCTCAAGTGATAATGGGCCCAAAATGTGCCCAGAAAATATCCCCCACACTAATACAATCACCACCACCAGCCTAGACTGTTGATACAAGGGAGGATTGATCCATGCTTGGTTGATACCCAAATCTGACCCTACTATCCGAATGTTGTAGCAGTAAGTGAGACTCATCAGACCAGGCAACGTTTTTCTCATATTTTGTCTAATTTTGGTGAGCCTGTGCGAATTGTTGCCTTAGTTTCCTGTTCTTAGCTGACAAGAGTGGAAGATAGTGTAGTCTTCTGCTGCTGTATCCCATCTGCCTCAAGGTTGGATGTGTTGTGCATTCAGAGATACTCTTCTGCTTATCTTATTTGTAACGAGTGGTTGCTTGAGTTACTGTTGCCTTTCTATCACCTCAAAGCAGACAGGCCATTCTCCTCTGACCTATTTTCTCTTTTTCAGACCATTCTCTGTAAACCCTAGCAGTTTCTGAAATACTCAGACCAACCCGTCAGGCACCATGCCAAGTTCAAAGTCACTTAAATCCCATTTCTTCCTCATTCTGATGCTCGGTTTGAACTGCAGCAGATCGTCTTGACCATGTCTACATGCCTAAATGCATTGAGTTGCTGCCATGTGATTGGCTGATTAGAAATTTTCGTTAACAAGCAGTTGGACAGGTGTACTTAATAAAGTGGCCGGTGAGTGTGTTTTGAAGATAGTTGCAAGCCTGTAACCACTGACTTCCATAGTGTTTGTTTTTCCTCCTAAGGGTGTCAAAAGGTTTTCAGCTTTTTTAAAGTAAAACAGAAAGACAGAGACCATGAATATCCCCCAAAAATCTAAGCAAGTCGTTCCTTTGCAATAGACATATATTAAATATTACTGCATACCATGAGGAATTCAAACAGAAAAGAAATATCTGGAGGAACAAAACAGAGAACTCGAAAAATCTTAGGCCACAGATACGATTGTGATAGATACTAATGTCATGTTAAAAATGAAGTATGACACATTTTCATGATCAATAATAATAATCACTACATATGTGGATTGTTTTTAGCACAGTTTTAATATTTGAAATGTTTTGTTTCAGTTATTTTGAATAAAAGCTCCTCAAACCCGAAGTACAACCCTTAATTTGAAACACAGGGGTCACATGTGAATAAAAAGGTGGGTAATTGAGAGTAGGATTTGTAGGCTTTGGATGTGTGTGTTGTTGGGAATTGATATCTCTGTGACCTGACAGGACTGAATGCAATGAGAGAGGAGCTCGGGGAAGAGCACAGGTCTTTGGAGAACTGCCCTATGGCTTGGCTGATCTTTCCATGACCTCCAGCTGACCTGTGGGATCCCTTTACAAATGAAGCCAGGGCAGATCGGCCTTCTCTTGTTCTTGTCTGGCGTGGGAGAGCGCAGGTGTGTCGTATCACAGTCAGTGTCGCTGCAGGCGAGAGTTCACATCCAGACGAAGGGGAAATCAGGCATAAAGGGAAATGAAGACACATGTCGCTCTTTTTCCTTGCACACACACATTCGCACTCACTCAGGCTGTACTGATGGGGAAAAACATCTGAGCATTGGTTCAGATTTTCTATTCTGCCTTTGGTTCAGTGTCTTTCAATGAACTATCAACTGGAGCTTCTTGACTGTTGTCTAGTTTTAGAGTTGATTTAGTGAAAGATGGTTTTAGAGCTGTATTGCCCATAACAATTTTAGGTCCTGTAAACAATCCCTTCACCTTAACATTAAGTTATATAATAATATTATGTTTAAAATTATTAAAAAATGTACGAAACATCAATTTATTAACATAAGTTCTTTGTTTATAATTACTCATTCATTCATTTTTCTTTGGCTTATCAACTTTATTAATCAGGAGTCGGCACAGTGAAATAAACCACCAACTTAACCAGCATATGTTTTACACAGTGGATGCCCTTCCATGCTGCCACCCAGCACTGGGAAACACCCATACACTCATTCACACACATACACTATGGCCAATTTAGCTAATTCAATTAATCTATACCGGATGTCTTTGGACTGTGGGGGAAACTGGAGCACCAGAGGAAACCCACGCGAACACGGGGAGAACATGCAAACTCAAACACAGAAATGCCAACAGACCCAGTCAGGACACAAACCAGCAACCTTCTTGATGTGAGGTGACAGTGCTAACCACTGACTTACCCACTGACTTATGTCGCCGTGTGATTATTATTTTTTTTTGTTTCAAACATTTTTCATAACATTTCAATCTCACGTTGCATGAATGTCTACAGAATTTTACATTCTTATAACATTCCATTTGTGTCATATTAATGTTTTATAACACCTTCTATCACATCCAAAAATATTAATTATGTTATTGTTTACTTTGCTTCCTCACCAGAAGTAACTATTC